CCACGCCGGCAGGTTACATTCACATCTTGGAGCACTGGGTTGAAGTCTGGTCCCTCTTTCTCTGTGGAGATATAAACAATACCCTCCTCTTGGGTGAGTTAGTGCCTTGTGCCTCCACTACCCATTTCAAGAATACATTTTTATTAAGCGATTTTAATAAGGGTTTTTGGTAGTGCGCTTGAATTTATGGGATCAAACATCTGTCATGTGACACTGTGAGTCATTTCACAAGACATAGTGATACTGGTCAGGGGTGTGAAAAGCCCTGCCCGCAGACAGAGTAGATCAGAAAGTGAACTATTGCAGAAATAGGTTAAAGTTCAACCCCTTACTTTCTTTTTTAACCTGTTCTTAATCTGTTCTATTTTTTAAAATTCTCCCTTTGGATTAAAAGTTAATGTTAACAATATAATCAAACAAATTGTATAGGATTATTAAATGAGAACCAAACCTGTATACACTTTCACTGAAAACCCAATAAAAATTTATTAAAGAAAAGACAGTGGTAATAGATGTGAGAAAGTTTTTGCTCATAGTTAGAAAGTGCTAGAAGGAGCTTTTGAGTTCATCTTGTGAGACCCTCATGTAGAAATTCTCCACTTTCTGCCCACCTACATCTGAAGAGGTATAACTTCCTCTGCCTCCTTTTTTAATGTTTTCACATACCAATGTAATGAAAAGTTTGGTATTTGTCGTTGACGGTGGGTAGGCATGCTAATATGAACCAGCGTTTCTATTATTTTTTATTTTGTGTCAGGCCCCTGCTAAGTGCTTTGTATACATGATCTCATTGTATTCTCTTCACTCTGAGATTGGGCCTGTTACCATTGTCTTCTAATAAGTGAAAAATTGAGGCTTAAGGTGAAATTACTTGCCTGACTTGATCATCACTCTGCTAACTCCCACAGACAGTTGGTGCTAAAAATTTGGTTTTTCCTTTACTAAACATGTCATTATCTCATGTTTCTGTCGCTCTGGGCAGTTCTCCTGTTTTAACTGTATCTTCTTGCTTGCTCTGTGAAAGGGGATGTGTATGATACTGGAAACAGCGTGACTGTTCAGTCTTGGATCTGAATTCTGGCTTCTCTGTTTAGGCCTTGCACTGTCTTTAATGCATTCCCCCCTTGCTTTACCGACAGAATGGATATGAGATTGAAAGGGCAGAATGAATAGAAAATAAAGATTGTCAACTGGCAGCTTACAGGCCACTTTTAGCTGAAGAGACATTTTACTTGGTTTACACGATACTTAAAAAGAAAAAAGTGGCCAGTGATTATCGGGAACTTTTCAATAGGAGGTCTGTATTTGCAGCTGTGCTTGAAGCTTTCAGAGAGGTGGGAAAATGTACAGCCGTAATCTGTTGGAGCTGAGTGTGTCTTTGTCTTTAGAGAGAGTGCATGTGTTCCGGGTTGCTGTAGGCTCTGCCTGTCTCACCTCACTCTGGTTCTTGCCTGACTTTGGCCTCTATGAATTTGCAGTGTAGGCCAGTATAGCGCCCAGTCACGTGGTCCCTGTTTTATAGATGAGATCGGGACTACAGGAAGCCTACTCCTTTTGACCTAACTCCTGGTCTGGCTATGTTGTTAGGTGCTGTTGAGTTGGCTCCGACTCAAGAGACCTTCGACAGAAGAAAACACTGGCCTGTCTGGCACCTTCCTCCTATCCTTCCTTCTGTTGCTACATTTGAGCTCATTGTTGCAACTACTGTGTCAATCCATCACATTGAATCTCATTGAATCCATCTCTTTTTTAACTGACCCTCTTTGTTAAATGCAAAGCTCCCTCTGGTGGCTCATATGGTGCATTGCATTGAAAACCATTTTTAAACCTTTAATACTTAAAACTAGACTATTTCAAGTTTTCTTGGAATATTAAAGTTTTTAGCTAAATAATAACATTTCTTTAATCTCTTCAGAATCTGTTAAGAGTTCTAAATTCTGTATTTTTCAGTGTTTATATAATCTGTAGTGTAAAGGTTAGATTTAAATCCGTTTTGAGGGGAAATTTGAGAAAATCAAGTTAGGAAGTTTATGATCCTTTATGTTTTCTGGCATTTTTGGTGAGTTGCCTAAAATGAGAGTGGTGTTACTAAACAAGCTGTAGCATTTGATAAACTGGTTCAAGTCTTCTCTGTAGCGTTTATAGGTGTGTAACCATGTACAGTTCACCTCACCTTTCTAAGCCTCGTTATTTTCCTCAATAAAATGGGGATAATAGTTTCTTTCTCTCTTTTGACTTCTGAGGAGTAAATGAGTACAGAAGCAAGATGTAGGAAAAGACCTAACAAGTGGTCTGAGCGATTATGTGTGCAAGCCTGTGCACAGATAGGGCTGCACACACTGTCCAGTGGATTCTGAATCACAGTGACCCCACACACAGCATAGAAATGCTCCATAGGGTTTTCTACACAGAAGCAGCTTCCTGCATCTAGACTCTCTGCGAAGCCACTGGGTCGGAGATACTGCCCTTCCAATTAGCAATTGACCTCTGACGGTTATACTAGCACCAAGGCAAAGTCCCATCAGATGCAGAGTCTGAAAAAGTACCGTGTACTTGTTCCTGCTGTTCCTGTGCCTTTTCCCCTCTAAGTGACTCATTTCCTTGTGTGAATTTGTGAGAAAAGAGGATTGAATAAAAGAAGTGAGCGTCTCTGTCCTTTCTGAGGCAACACCTTCATGCATTTTACAGCCAGAGAACTGTGTTATAGGGTTTCTGAGACTAACAATCTTTGTAGGTGGGGCAGGCAGCCTTCTCTGCCATGGAGTGATGGGTGGGTTTGAACTGCCAACCTTGTGGTTTGCTGTCCAATGTTTACCCCATGGTACCACCAGAGTTCCTTCCACTTAAATACAGACATCATAAATCTTTTGAAATCTAGTCTTTCAGACTTTTTATATGTAAATTCTCCTATTTGTAAGTCTCTGAAAATAGAATCCTGGTGTATTATAACTTGTCCTGTTAATTTTATTTTAAGAGCTAAGGGCTCCCACCTTGTCCAAGGAGCTCTCGTGGCATAGTGGTTATGAGGTAGGCTGTCCTAAAGGTTGCCAGTTCATAACCACCATTTGCTCCTTGAGAGAGAAAGAAGTAGTTTTCCACTCCCATAAAAATTACGGTTCTACCTTGTCCTCTAGGTTAGCTATGGGAGGCATCGACTTGAGGGCAGTGAGTTTTTTTTTGACATATGGAGCCCTGGTGGCTCTGTGTGTTCACTTCAAGATTAGTGGTTCAAACCCACCAGCTACTCCTCAGGAGAAAGATGAGGCTACCTGTCCCCATAAAGATGTATAGCCTTAGAAACCGTATGTAAGGTTGCTACGAGGCGATGACTATGTGTATCGCTTTTTGTTTCTTAATTATTTTTGGTATCTAACATGGCCATTCAAATGGTAAAAAATTGAACCCAATACAGGGAAAGTAATCTAGAAAAAGAAAATCAGTAAGGTCCAGGGGAACAAATGCACACACAATTAAAGAGAAGTTAGGGGTGGTATGGGGTCTTGTCTGCCGTGTTTCCGAAGAGGAAAAGCTTTGTCGTGTGGACAGTAGCTGTGGGTTAGTAGGCATCGTGGAGTCATTTGATCATTCCTCTGAATGCTAAGATAGTTTTTAAACTCGGTATGTGCTCATGCTTGTGATTATACTTTTGAGGATTTATTTAAAGGAAAAGTTTTGGCATGAGCTGTTTTCCTGTAAGGTTATGATGAGGTTGATTATTTGATCTCTCTTCATTAGTAATCTTGCTGCTAATTTTGGAGTGAGCCAAACTTGTCTCTGAGCTTTGTTTCTGAGACATTGTGCAAGTGTTTAAAGTTTTCAGATCTTTTCTATTGTGTGACAATTGCTCTCTTCAAGATGACTTAGAAGGATTAGATTAGGTTCTATTCCTAAATGTTTTCATCAAAACAATAACTTCCTGATGAAATAGTCTTAGTATAAGAAGTTTTTTGAATTTCTGATTGTCATGCAGCTTTGGTTAAGTTACACTGATGCACCGTGACTCATTTTTCCCCTTTTGCATCCTCTGGTTACAGGTACCAAGGTTACATAGGTGCAGCCCTAGTTTTAGGAGGAGTCGATGTTACTGGACCTCACCTCTACAGCATCTATCCTCACGGGTCAACGGATAAATTGCCTTATGTCACCATGGGTGAGTGTAACTGTTTCCCTGATGTTTCACCAGAGGACGGCCTCCTAAGATAAAGAACTGGCCCAGTCAGAGGAGGCGGTGCTTCGATTCATTCAGCCTTAAGGCATTTATAGAAGGCGTACAAGGCCAGGTTTGGAGGATATACCAGTGAACAAAACACAGATCCAAATTCTTGCTCAAGAGGAGTTTATAATTTTGTGGAGGTAGATAGGTACTAAACAACAACTATAATAAATATTTTGAAAGAAGGACCACCTGATCTACTTTAAAAAAATCAGCCAATGGAACCCAGTGGTCCAATCCCCAGTTGATCGTAGTGATGGTGCATGACTGGGCAGCATTTTCTTTCATTGTGTGTGGGGGTGGGCGGGGAAAAAGCATGAGATTGCAGCTAACAACAACACAGTATTTATAATGTGTTAGAGAGTGATATATACTAAGAAGAAAAGAGGAACGTGGTGATTTTATACCCAAAACAGGATTTTATCATTGGGTGTGAATAGAGGACCTCTTTATATTATTTCTTTTATTTTAAAATTTTTTGTATTATTTCTTACATGTGCATTGTACATATGAATGTCCAGTTACCTCAGAAATGTCCAGTTCTAATGAAAAGTTAGAAAGAATGATTGCAGGGTAAAGGCCTTGGGAGTGGAGGGCGAGAAGTGGGGTGGGATGCAGGCAACAGTATTAAATAGGAAACTTAGGGTAGGTCTTGTGAAGGAAGTGAAACCTGAGTGGAAGAGCCAGGTCAAGTGTCCTCAAACTATGGCCCGCGGGCCACATGCGACCTACCAAGGACATTTATCCAGCCCACTGGGTGTTTTTACCCCGTTTGTTTTTTTACTTCAAAATAAGATATGTGCAGTGTGCATAGGAATTTGTTCATAGTTATTTTTTAAACTGTAATCTGACCCTCCAACGGGTCTGATGGACAGTGAACTGGCCCCCTGTTTAAAAAGTTTGAGGACCCCTGAGCCAAGTAAACTAGAGGGTGGGCTTTTGAGCTAGAATGCTTTGGGCTTGCTTTACTACTTGGTCTCTGAGGAATTGTGGGTGTCATTTAACTCCTCTGTGACCATTGGTTTCTCATCTGAGATTGTTGTTAGCATTGTAAAACACCTGGTCTCATGCCTGGCCTATCGGATAGGAGCTGCTCATTTTAGTCCACCTGGCATTCTGGTTATGAGTTGGGCTGCTAACCCCAAAGGCAGCAGATTGAAACCGCTGCTTGGGAGCAAGATGAGGCTTTCCACCCCTCACAGCTGCAGTCTCAGAAACCCGCAGGGGCGGTTCTTCTGTGTCCCTTAGGGTCACTGCGAGCTGGAATGGACTCGATGGCAGTGAGTTTTATTTTTTAATATTGTTTTAACTCTCTAGCTGCTAGATAAGAGTATTCTTTTTAATGACACCCTCTTCGGCCCACTGATAAATTCCATTGAGAAAAATTGCGATTTTCAAATTCTAACCTTTCTGCTGAATTTCTCGTTTGAATCCAGAGTGGGTCCATAGCACTCTTGAGTGTATAGGGCATCTCTCGTTAGGAACTACTTAGGCTACACATTCTAGTTTTGCTATCAGAGTAAGAACAAGACTTACGTAAAATGGTGTCTGATTTTTTATGTTGTTGTTATGTTGATGCCATCGAGTAGTTTTGACTCCTGGTGACCCGTGTACAGCAGAACATACTTGTTACTGTGTTTGGACTATCGTCAAGGTGTCAGTCCTTCTGTTTTGGTGACCCTCTACTAAGCATGATGCCCTTTCCCAGGGACTAGTACCACTTGATAACACTTCAGAGTCTGAGACCAAGTTTTGGTGTCCTTGCTTCTGAGGAGCATTCTGACTGTGCTTGTCGCAAGACACATTTGTTCATTCTCCTGACAGCCCACGGTGGAGTCCACGTTCTTCACAGACGCCGTGCAGGTCTGTCTGCCCTGTGTATGGCCAGCTTTCACATGCACTGGGGCAGTTGGAAACAGCACAGCTTTGGTCACTTGCATTTAATCTTCAAAGGGGCATATCTTTGCTCTCTAACATTTTAAAGAAGTCTTTAACAGTGTTTTAGCCCAATATAATATGCCGTGTGCTTTCTTAACTGCTGCTACCATGAGCATTGATTGTGGATTCAAGTAAAATGAAATCCTTGACAACTCCAATCTTTTCTGTGTTTATCGCATTGATATTGCTGAGCCACTTGTGAGGATTTTTGTTTTCTTGATGTTGAGGTGTAATCTATCCCGAAGCTGCTGTCTTTAATGTCCATCAGGAAGTGCTTCATATCCTCTTGTAATATATGAGTAAATGATTACTCTGAAGTTTTATTAGTTCATCTCTTCATTCATCTATTAAATATTTGCTGGATGCCTTCTGTAAAGGCACTGTAGCAGGTTCCACAGGTGGAAATGACTAGGAAGGTCACTGCCCTTAAGATACCCTTGTCTAATGGGTAGACAGGTGTAGAAACTGACAAGAATCATGGAGGCTGAGGGGGTTCAGGAAGAGTACCGCTTCGTTTGAATAGTCTCTAAACAAGAAACGGTGCTTTCATTTATGAGCAGTTTACTTAGCATCTACTAGGTGCTGGGAGTGCAGTGGTCAACATAGCACTTGCCCTCAGAGGAGGGTCCTGGGCAGTGAGGCAGGGAACTGGGTATTAAATGCATAAACTACACAAATTGTAACAAAAGAACATAGTGCTCTAGAAGAAAGAACAGTAATAGAGAATAACAGGAAGGGATGTGTGGATAGGCAGGTATTTAAGGAGTCCTTACTAAACAAGTGACTTTAAAACATTTTCTAATGCAAGTTAACTTGTGGACCTGATCAGACATTTAAGCAGGACAAAGTATGAGATGAAAAATGTATCTCTTCCATGTCCCTCCCCCACAGTAACTACTGTAGAGGTTTTGTGTGTGTGTTTTCCTTTAGAGATTGTTATGTGAATACACACTCATCCATTCAATAATTACCTTTCCCTTCCAAAAATACTTAACTGAGGTTGTATTGATCAAAAATTTTCTGTTGCAAGCAATACAATCATTGGGCAATTTAAGGGAACATTTTATTTATATATGGCTCACAAGATAACAGGATGCGAACTGGGTTTTGGGCCACCCAGCCAGACTCGGTGTCTAAGGTTCTGCTGGAAAACAAGGCTGTTGCAGCCACCGAGTCTGGGCGGACACTCCTCCGGTCCACACTGCTGGCACTCAGCTGCCCAGCAGCTCCTGGCTGGAGGCTTCCTGCTGTGTCTTTTACTGCTACAGAGTTCCTTATCGGGCAGTGGGTGCTTTTAACTGAAGGCCAGGGTTCTCCAGACAGGAAGGAAGGAAGCAAATGGCTGGCAGCCCTGAAGACTGACAGTTGATGGTGTACAGCCTTTTGCCTTCTGAGAGTTGTTGCCAGATGGCCCTCCAAATATGGCACTAGTTTGTACTTCCACCAACAGAGAATGAGAATGCCTTTCTCGAGCAGCCTCACCCACACCAGACCATTTCGTCACGCTGCTAGGTGAGCATGGGAAGACTTCACAGTGACAAGTGAGATCTTGTCAGGGATGATCCCCCACCTCAGGAACATTGATTTCTGTCCCTGTGGTGATGGGATTTGAGTGACCAAGGGCTAGAAAGACCAGCCTTTGCTGGTTGGATGAGGTGGGGGTGCGGTGGAGTGGGGAGGCTGTTGGCGTGAAGTCTTCCACAGCAGGAGCAAAGCCGTGGTGGGACTAAGGAATGGCAGGTAGGTTCAGACATGAGCTGGGCGTGGCTGGAAGGAAGCCAGAGTCCAGATGAAGTATGCTGAGTGCTTTTGCTTTTGTCCTGGAGGGTCTTCTCAGACGATTTCCGGCTGGGGAACGAGAAGTGTAAATTTACCTGTTAGAGCAGTCTTAACGGCTTTGGGGAAGAGGCGGGATGCTGATGGGTCTGGAGATGTAGAGGTGACCACTGTCATGGCAGAGAGCGGGCAAAGGAATCAGCCAACCTTTAGACCAGAGCCTGTCTCTGTCATCAGTTTACGTTGGTGGCGCTTGGCTGCTGGGTTACAGAAACACCTCTACCAGATGCCCCTTTCCTTAGTTGGACTCTAGACCTTTTTTCTAGTCTTATTTCCTGTTCCACCTCCACGTGTACCCTTGCCTCCCCCAAGAGGCCTTCTTTTTTAAAAAAATCATTATATTGGGGGCTTGTACAATTCTTTTTTTTTTTTTTTCCATTTCTGAATCCAACTGGAATTTTATTTGACACAGAACACGATATGGTTGCATGAGCACGACAAACTGAAAAGACAAGGCAGCGAAGACATGGTTCTATCTAATTATAATTAAGTAACAGGAGGGCAAGGCAGTAAATGAATAACCAAACATTTAAGCTTGATAGAAGAATTCATTTTTTCTAATGCCCATACTTTTGGAATTCCCACTCTCTGTTGTCCAATGGACACACCTGCCGTGTTTTGAGCCAGCGAGAGATGCAGTGGAAATGAAAAGCATGGTTACAGACTCCCCAGGCAACGGTACACTCTTCCGACGTGGCAGATGCCTGGTTGGCTTGACATTCTATGCAGAGATCCATAATGTGGTTCCTGCAGATGGCACAGTTATCAACCACAATATCCCAAGCCCAGAGGGCTACTGCATTCCACTTCGCAGTTGTCATCCTGACCCTTCTCTGCAGTCACTGTCTACAATTCTTGTATCAAGCACATTTGTACGTTTGTTGCCATCATCATTCTCAAAACATTTGCTTTCTACTTGAGCCCTTAATATCAGCTCTTCATTTTTCCCATCCCTCCCAACTCCCTCACGAACCCTTGATAATTTATAAATTATTATTATTTTGTCATATCTTACACTATCCGATGTCTCCCTTCATCCATTTTTCTGTTGTCCATCCCCCAGGTTAGAGGTTATATGTAGATCCTTATAATCGGTTCCCTCTCTACCCCACCCTCCCTCCACCCTCCAGGTATCGCCACTCTCACCACAGGTCCTGAAGGGA